AACTAATTTCTATTGGATTATATCCTTATTAGTCAATGAGATACCTTCATTTGTATTACAACCCGAAAGTGTTTTATTAACTTATTATGATTTTGTTGACTATTGAACATAAACACATAGAATATGTAGTAAAATATTCATTAATATAATATTAATATGATTACATATAATTAGCGAGCAGTACATACAAGAACAAGAGATTTCTGTTGGCCATTTCGATTAGGTAGATCTTCTTCTTCTTCTCCATCTTTTCTAACACGACGCCATTTAGCTCGACGGTTTTGAAACCAAGTTTTAACTTGACGTTCACTCAGACTTAGCGATTTAGCCAGCTTCTTCCTCTCCTGAGGACTAAGGTATTTGTGAGAATCAAACTTAGATTCTAAAGCATCTGTCTGCTCGTTTGTAAATCTTAAATCAAATGGTGAATTCTCAGTACAGCATACTTGCGTTGCTCTACCTGATTTGACCTCCTTTCCTTTTTTGTGAGCTTTTGGCTGGAAAATTAGAAAAAAACAAATATCTATTGAGAGGTGAATCAAAAATGTTCTGAACAGATGGTATTGAAGTTCCTGAGAAATATAGAGAAGGTATGGTTAGAATGTGAAGCAGTTAACGCACCTCCAAGAAAGTTTGTTGCAGAAACAGGAGAAATAGTTGATGGATTTGCAAAGTTTGAAATTTCAGCCATTTGAGCAGCCGCCAGCTGTAAATTCATAATGTTGGCAGCATTGTATATTGACATGGCTTAAGCGAAATAGTTTTCCTTGATTAGATTGTGAAAGATCACCTTGGTTTGAAACAGAAGTCGGCGTTAGGCTTCCTAATTGATGCTGATTAGGTGATGAGGTAGATGGAGTTTCTGCCTATATCAGGAAATAATTAAGAGAATAATCAGATATTTGGTTTACTCACCAACTTTTGACAAGATGAATCAGCTACAGCTGATTGAAGCAAATTATTAATAGAAAATTTTTTATTATTGTTCATAGTATCAGATTGGAGCAGATAGCGAGCTGTAAGAAATGAATTGCTGAAGAAGCTATCTGGCTTCTTCGATCTACAATGTTTACTCAATTGGGCGGAGATCGGTAATGGATAGACGTATTTTACGGTATGTTCTTGCTCATCTTTGCTTTTTCTCTACAGTATTTTTCTCTGGACTCTCTTCTATTTACTGTGCTGTTACTATCGCTGTCAAACAATTTGGTCGAAAAAAAGCATTCACAACTACTTTAATTGAGTAAAAATGTAGAAATTCTTGGAAAACTATTCTTAATCTAAGATATATTGTTTTTCTTTATGGCTTGTGTGTTTAGAAATCATCAATGGGCTCATAATAATTCCATAGTAAAAGTATGAACCATTCCTAGTATCATAAGATCAGAAATCTGTTTTTCTCCATCGCCTATCTCTTTCCGTTTTTATCCAATTTTTTTGAACCTCATTCAAGTTCCGATTTTACGATTTCATTCTTCATACTTTCCATTTGTTCATTACACAAGACGAACACTCAATTTATACTTCGTGTATTTCAAAATATTTTCCCTTTTTTTCGATCAACTCAGAGTGAGCAAATGAATTTCGATGCAGATGAGTCCTATGATTGTTGATTTCCGACATGATTGTGTATTTTGTTAGAACATGAATGATGGAATCCTTTTAGACAGGTAATATTTGGATGGCAACTACACTGTGTGGCAACTAAAAGAAAACGATCAGTTTTCTCAGTCAACCAAACACCCTTTTTCCATAATGTTGCAAAAGAATTAAAAAGTTTCAATCTATCAGATTAGTGGAACGTTCATCTGGTTCTGTTGACATAACTTCTACAGTAGTAAAAGCTGATAATTGAAAAAAATTTTCAATTCTGTTTTCGTTTCTAATAGTCGATGATAAGTAATCAGCTTCCTAATAGCCAATTAAAAACATATAAGAATTTGCGCATTTCGTACTTATTCTCCTAAAAATGTAAATAGATTAAGAGAAAAAACAGCACGAAACCAGTGTCTCATGTCAAACAACAGTGTTATGTAATCGACGATAGTATTCGTAGTTAACAATTAAACAAATAACTAATTCTTTTAATGGAGAAACAATCTTTAGGCGATTGCAAACAGATTTATTTGAGTGATGATCCGAAATTTATGAACAGAAAAGGGAAATGAGAGGAAGAATGAGTAAATTCTATTAGAGATATGTATTACATTCATTTCACGTTTCCAGATCAACAAGTACAAACCAAACAGCGCTCAGTGAATTTGAAAGCTATACAGAGCTTGCTGTCATCATTTACAATCAATGTTCCTTTTATTCATGAGGTATCACATTACTACTAACTGCCTTTACAAAACTCTTTTTCAAAAATCAAATGTCAAAGGAGCAAATACAACTAATTGAATTTTTAGCGTTTCTCGAAAAGGTATCGCATTGCAAATTTGTTGAATAGCACATCTTTATAAGCAATCCTGCCTGTATATGCTATTTGAGTTGAAAGAAGGGGGTGCCAATCAATTGTAATGCAAGTTGATTATCAAAAATGGAAACAAAAAGTAAACATTAATAGAATATTAGTTCTGAAGCGATCGTTGCAGAAAGATTGTCTGCCAGTTTGTAAACATCTAAAGTACCTGATTAACAGACATCAAAAGTTTTCTTCGAGTATCATTAATATAACATTCCATTGATGATATTATAATGTGCTTATCCACTTGATAATCTTATTGTCGGACATTTAGTAGGCACTCGTCGGTTAATCTATCATTCTTCTTTCTTCATATGAATGCGACAGATGATGTCTCTTTATTTCAATCATCTTGTCACCGTTGACCCTCTCAACATCCTTCAGATGATGTGTTTGTATGAACACAGTGTTCTACTACCGCAATGTAATCAAAACCGTCGAGTCTTGTTAATCCTTTCTAACATACTCTATACTCATTCATTTCCATCTTTCTATCATTAGAGATCTAATACAATTGAATATGTATTTACTTAAGAATATCAACTTAAGTTCTAATGATATAAATATACATTTTATGTCATTCCATTGAGAAACACAATAAGATTGATGACATAATCACATTTCATTACGATAAATCACTCACTGTTTGTTTTTCAGTCAAATGATACTCAATGTGCTTCTCAATCAACAGATTGTTCCACTTGTCATGCTATAACATATCATATCAATTCTCCACTCACTTACTATCTCATTTAATCCATATCAAGGGATTTTCATCAAAATGGTTTTACAGGGTGGGAAATATATAATACAGGAAATATGTAAACAACTATCATGATAGGCGTGGCATATACTTTGTATCAAAGGACATATTGTAGTCTGTCTCCGCATGACATTGATAACAAACATCGATTGATATATCCGTGTCATTTGCTATAGAATGACTTCTAACGTTCAAATTTGTATTGAAAATGGAATTTTCTTCATCACATTGTCTCGAGAGAAACGACTCAATTCAATTACAAATGAGGTATGGTGTATAGTATTGTATTGAGCTTTTTCAATCAACTATTCAGATGTACAAACAACTGACAGAAGCATTCAAGAAAGCAAACCATGATTGCAATGTGTTCTTAACTGTCATAAAAGGTTTTTCAATATACTATTCCTCACATTATAACTATTCATTGTAAGGAGTTGGAAGATATTACTCTGCCGGAAGTGATTTCTCTCTGGACGAATTGAGTGAAATGTAAGAATCACAAATACTCGCAAAAGTCAAAGTAAAATTTTTTCAGGAGTGGCGATGAGAAGAGCAGTTATTACTATTTGGTTGAGGAAATAATTAATCATGCAAAGCCAATCATTGCTCTAGTCCATGGACCTGCTGTAGGTATTGCAGTGACAACATTGGCCTTGTTTGACATGGTCATCGCATCCGACAAAGTGAGTTTATTAAAACGCTTTTGAAGATGTTTTTTATTTCGGCTACATTCTTATGTCCTTTCACCACCTTGGGACTGTGCCCGGAAGCTGCTAGCAGTTATTCATTCATTCAATCAATGGGATATCAGAAAGCAGCCAAGATGCTGATGTTCGCAGAGAAAATAACAGCAGCTGAAGCATTAGAATGTGGATTAGTTTCAAAGGTTGGCCAATTCTATAATTGTAAGTGTAGACAACATATTTCAAGGTCTTTCCTTCCGAGTCGTTTGATGTACTGTCCAGAGATCTGATTCAAAAGTACGCACAGTTATCTCCAGAGGTAAGAAGTAATGCGATAACATCTCACATTCTTGTACTAAGAGTTTGCTTGCCAGTAAACAATTGCTTCGGACCAACAAACAATTGAAGGAATTGCATAATGTCAATGAAACTGAGCACGATGTTCTGATAAAGCTGATGACGTCAGAGTCTACTATGGAACGCATCATGAAGAAATTCACAAAGTCCAAATTGTAAATATCGGTGTCTAACCATCCGTATCACACTATTTATTCCGGGAAAATATAAACTTCTACACGATTTATTTTTTGAACCAGAATGGAAAATGCCTTTTGTCTGTTCAACCTTCTGCAGCAGATTAACTGATCGATGGAAGCGTGCCAAAATCTGAATTTAATTATCATATTGAGTTTT